GATTAATGCTTTCACCAATCATAAAATTTCACATCTCGATTCGAACACACAAAACTATAACAACGCATTGCTAATCTCCAGACACACCAAGAGAGAAAGAGAGAGAGATACAGAAAATATGGGCACAATCATTTGATTATATATCCTTGTTTGTTTTGTGTAAAATACGCGACACCTGCGTATGTGTTCTATTTCGATTCGAAACACCTGGCATTTATTTCGGTTTGTTTATGTGCGTGTATGTTGATCGCGTTTTTTTTTCTTCTGTGCACTCTGTTGAACAAACAAGCTGCTACTCGCACCAAATTCAATAACATGGGAATGCAATCAGTTCCCATTTGGCAATCAGCATTGGGTTGAAAATCCTTTCTATTGCAAACGGTTACTGTTGTTGTTGCTATTTCTCTCTAGCTCGTTCTGGGTTATCGATTTGAAAATTACCGTCCGCTGTTCAGTTCTCACTGAATTGGTTCACAACCAATCGCATCCACATATGTGCAAATGCAAACGGATTTCTTTCTATTTCAAATATTTTCATGACAAACACAAAAAAGCGCCATGCCTTAATTAACCTACATCGATTGATGTGTAGCTGCGAATAAGTTTTCGTGCGCTAACCCGTCGATTTTGACGCTAGTCGCTAACGTGTGTGTAGTTTGGCACAAATTTCAGAAAATCACTCATGTCAAAAATAGCGGTGCGGATGACGGCAAAAAGGCGTCTACAATTACACCTGTATTGTTTGTTGTGGCTTTTTGTTATGACATTTTTTCGATGAAAAGAAAATATGATATCGATTCGGTGTCGTTCGCGTTCGGTTTATTAAAATGCAAATAGCACATTGAACCAGAGCCGAAAGCGAACAACGACGACGACGGAGTGCAATATTCAATACAAACGCTACTTTCAATTACAATTGCAATTGTGATTTCCTTTTGCGCTGCATTTCGATTACAATAATAAAAATTATATAGCGAACATGCGAAAAAAGCAGCAGCAGCAGCAGCAACTGCGACGACGACGACGACGGCGACAAAAACAACGCCAAACAATGAAAATCCTTTTATGAACAGCATACACCCGTAATCGGGCATATTGTACTTTATAGCATTAATAAATGAGTCAGCAAAATATGCTGTTGTTGCCGCTGCTGTCGAACAAGCAGCTTGTTGCCATTATCATGGCTTAGCATCGTTTTCACAACAAAAGCAGATATACCCATAACCAATTTCAACACATTTAAATGATAGTGTGTATGCAATCGCAATGGTACACAATTTGATTGTGATAAGGAAAAATTGCATCGAACAATTCCGAAATAGACAAGGGAAAGGAGAGCGAGGGAGAAAAAAAAAACGGTTTTTGTTCTATGTGTGCTTTTGACCGAAGGCAGGAAAAAAGATAAATGATTGCGGTCGAGAGAGTTGTTGAGAGTTCACTCGATTTCATAGTTGGCTTTGTCAAAAACAGATGAAAACAGAACAGTGGACCCGCACACAGACTCAACGCATACATTGTGTATTTTTATACTTATGCAAATGCTTGTTCAGAGCGAGAGAGAAAAAAAGGGGTTCCGAAATATGCAACGATCAATACACAGCGCACTGTTTATGCTGTCCAACATCGTTGCATTGTTTCGCTGATCCGATGATTGTTTTGAATGCCGCACATCGAATGACTCATTTCGCGTGCACTATGCGATTATGTACATTGCGTATTTTATTTCGCTGGCAAGTGTTCAATAGAAATAAACTGTGTCTGGCACAAGGCATGGTAAATATGTGCAACACGACAAACAAACACACACACACACAAATTTCAGGGCACTGAAAAGTACTAAGCAGAAAAACCACAATATGTCCAGTTCAGGTTTTGGAAAATCGTTGAAAATGAATTATTTTTCGCTGCGGTGGTTTTTTATTTCTTCTCTTTCTATCTGCGTATCATGCTAGCTATGAACCCCACTATGTCACTACATAGTCTATGTTGGCCGGTAATGAGGTTTATTGGTCGGTTAATAGGCGGTGTGACTGCAGCAAATGAAGGACTTCAAAAGAGAAATTAACGAATTTATTTTATGCAAATTTTGAGTTTTTGAATAAAGAAACAACAACAAACGAGTCATTGCAACGGCTGTTTGTCTTTGTCGAACCGTCACAACGTTTGAACATTGCACGCTGCATTTATCGATATGAGCGCGGTCACCACTTGGCCATGAGTTATTTTACACAGGAAAATGCGATTATCATACGATCGATGTATGACTAACCAACGAAAATCAGTAATTATCCAATGGCCACAGCAACCTTTTTTTTCTTCTTGTTTTGTTTTACAAACGGTTTTTTTCTCGTTCTGCACTTTGGCTTCATTTGAATTTTCGTTTCAATCGTTTCGTTCATTGCATCGCTTTTTGAATTCATTATTCAGTAGAATTGGTGTTAGCTTGGCACACAATTTTTTTTTCTGTCGTCAAAGTGATTTGGTTCGAGAACAGTGACCGACATTCCATGATCGATGCGTTTAAATACCGAAATTTTCATTTGAATATTCCATACGCACCAAATGTGGTCAAAATATGAAAATATGTTTGAACAAAAAAACGAAAAGTATGAAATAATAATTATGATGTAAATATCACATTTAAATCCGTTGAATCAACGCACATTCAATTGCTTTGTTATTCCGAAAAACAAATCTCTCTCAACCGTGACATCGCACGGCCCCCGAAAAAAAACAATTTCATTTTCTTTCCTCTTGATGCTTTATCTCTCCATGTTGCGTAATTGTGTTTCTAGTTGGGCACATTTACATTCATTGAATCAAACCGAAAATGAATAATTGGTGTGTATGTGTGTATGTGTGCGTGTGTGCGTGTGTTGCAATGTAAATGAATGTCCGCATTATTTGGTTGCCTCGCAATTTGACAGATCAAACGCAACAAATGGCAAACGAAATTCGGGTCTCATCTTGACAACTATCATTTTGTCTGAACAATGATACCGTTCGCAAGCGATCAAAAGAAAACACAGACGAAAAAAAAAAATTGTCATTCTAATTTACAGAGGAATCTCTTCTATCCTCTATTTTACATAGGATTGATTCGATGAACTACACGCATTTCTTCATCAAGTCAAAGCAAAAACAAAATCGTCAGAAGCAAAATCGTTCAATCAGAAGTCAGCAAAAGTCTTAAATTTTTTCTTCTTCTCAAACTGAAGCCTTTTCATGGTAAAAACTATTCAAGTCTTTGGTGGATAGTCTTTAATTAAATCAAAATCTGCCTTCGCATTCTCTGTAATAAAGAATAATCATGCTTTGTGGTATTCATGTCTCAGCACAGCTCATGTCCAATGACGTTGAAATACAATTTTAAACCGATTCAAATAAAGGACCGGATCGCATTTAGCAAAGAAAAATGACGAGGCAATCCGTATTCCTAAGAAGTGCCAACCACAAATTATTTAAACTCACTTTCAAATTGCGGTTTTCGCCGAAATAATTTCCAAGTTCTCATTATTTTGGCATTCATTTGTGTGTTTTTTTTTCTCGTTCAGCATAAAATTACATCAACTTTTTTTTGTTCAGCATAGTCTCGTCTTTTACACTGATAACAATCAAATTTGCTGTTATTTATAACACGTTCATTTTTTTTCCTGGCTACAGAGCCAATGAAGAGAGAAAAATCCAAATTTTTCTTAGCTTATCGTAATAGATCAAACTCTAGTAATTTCGGAGCACGTTTTTCGTATGCCACTCCTAGATTACTTAGATATTTGCTCGTTTGAATGAGTCACTTGGGGCCAAACAAACCGAAAAATATGTTTATTATTCTTTATATTGAAACAGTTTGTATTGCGTATGGGGGGGCACTCTCTCTCTCTCTCTCTCTTACTCTATCTCTAGATCTATCTTTTCATTTCCCTCTTTCTCTTTCTCTCCTTCTGTTTTACTTAATCATTCACGCTCGTAATATGCGAGGAAGGAGAACGAAAGAAAAAAAAAACATTTTTATTTTCGGAATGTACACATTGTTGGCACGAAAAAAAACACCTACCAATAACGTTCTATGTAATTTGATACGGTGCAACAATGTTATGTGTATGTTCATGCATAATTCTAATCCATCGTATCAAAAGGAAATGTAAAGGCCGGCTTTGAACTTCACTCAGTGCGATAGCAAGCGAAGAAAGACGGAAAAAAGACAACGAAAACATGTCTTGGCACAATTGATAATAACGCAAGCACACAGATTGACTTCATTTATTCGACAAACTGATAAATTTTTAAAAAGAAGATGAACAACAATCGAGTCGAGTGCTTGGAATGGAGAGAAAAAAAAGAGAAAAACATAGTCATAAACCTCATTAAAATAAGTTTATATACCCGAATCTGTTGCGCTGGATAACGATTTGTGGGACGAGATTTGTATTTTTCTTATATTTCTTCGAAATTGCTGATATTTTCGGCGGTCGTTTATATCTTTCCGTACTCTTTGTCTCATTATTTCGGTCTCAAATCACGAAAACAAACAAATTTCGAATCTCGATACAAAGATAAAAAAAGAATCCGGAAAAATCACATAAATCTGTCCTCTTTAAATGTGTCGATTTTATCCAATAAAAAAGAGTCGTGTTGACGACCTAAATTCACCCTCATGTGTGTCAACATCTTGAAGTGATTTCGCTAAATCCTTCCGCAGCCTCAAGGTGTAATAAATTCAATCTTAACTTTCAATAATACGAGAAGTATGTGCGATAGTATATCTTCACTTTCCTACATTTTTCTTTCGTTGTTGGTTCGTTTGAATGTGCAATTTTGGCATGAAAAATCGCACATGTGCTGGGCACATGTCAGACGAACGGATTGCGTGCACGGTTTTCAATTGATGTTTGTAAAATCGATGCGAATAAATCAAACCAAAAAAAAAAACCTGCACAAATTGCTTATAATAATCATTAATTCAAGTATTTTATTTATTTTCTTTTGCATGAAATGTTTACCCGCACTAAATGTCTGTCTCGGGCTGTCAGCATTCTCAATGTGATTTACGAGACGGGCTCTCGTTGATTCGATTAAATCAGCCGAATTTAGATTGAACATTTCCAAATGTAATGCATGCGTTTGCATGCAAACTCAATTTACATGTAAGCAGTGTGACAGTTCAAATGTCAGTAGATTTCCCTTGAAATTTTTTTTTTCTCTTCTCACTTTTGAAAAATCCTTGTCACTGCACTGAACAAAAACTGATTTTGTCACAATAAATGAAATAACATTTTTGATACACACCACTTAAAAGTACACACAACAAATCCAAAATCAACTTGAACCGATGATTTTCCGCTCGTCGTACCGTGTGTACAATCGGGGAGAAAAAAACTCAACCGAAAAATAGAAGAAAAAAAATTATGCGCGCGGAAAGAACTGAGACTAAGTGTCGTTCAGAAGCATCGAGACAAAAACCAAAACAACAACTGACAATACCCAAAGCAAACAAACCGAGTCGTTGCGTTGCTTTGCAAGTGCTATGTCACTCAAACATACGCACGAAGCGTTCAACTGTACACATATACGCGTACCATACAAACACACGGCCGTGGCAAACGATGTCGAACGCGAAAGCTATTGGAATTTGTTGATTGTTCGTGAATGTGTGTGTGTGTGTGTGTGTGTATTCGTCTCAGCCAGTGTACAGACAGATGTACACAATTCTTCACCAATACCGTGACAATCGCCATCGATTTCAATGGCTTGATGATAACCACAGCAAGCAGCATGTACTTCGATCTGTCAGAAAATATCGTATAAGCAACGAACGAGAAAATCGTTTTCGCATACACATCGATATACACTGTAAATAAATACACAACAATGAAATGCGATAAATGTGTACAAAAAATCGTATGTTGATATCTCTCGCCAATAGGTGGGCTGCACGAGCACTTGACTTTATCGGTTTTTTCGCTCTCTTTTGCGGTGCATTATTCCCGGCATAACTTTGAAACGAATCTTTTGAAACAAAAAATTGCTTCTTTTTTTCTCGAAAAAAACCAGTCTTCCTTTAAAAAAAACATGTTTTCCCTTTCGATGTGCGTTGGTTGAAAATTTATAGTTTATTGATTCAGCGAATGAAAACAGCGCATTCAACCAAATGTAGGGAAAAAAAACAATAACCAAATTAAATTTCTGAATTGTTTACAAATAGAAAGAGAAAAAGAAAAACAATCGTTCCGGCTCGACAGTCGTTCTCCAGTGCCCGCGCCAATTTGCGTCGATACAAGCCATTCGCTGCTCTTTATGCGTAGTATCTCTCTCTCTCTCTCTCTCTCTTTCTCTCTCTCTCTCTCTCACTCTCTCTCTCTCTCTCTCTCTCTCTCTCTCTCTCTCTCTCT